TCACGGACACACAGATACACACAAAGACAACCCCTCGTCAATATGCATTTTCTGCATTGCATAGCTGCAAAAAACGCATAATTAAGCAATCAACTGGCCTGAATTGAGTCCTTTTTCGACTGTGACTGTGTGCTTTCCGGTCGAAAATAGAACAAACAAACAAGAGCCAAGATTTTAGGAGGGAGCTTTTTTGTACGTACCCTACACATAACTCACATAGTACTGCTGAAAGTGGACATACCCAAGAATTCTTCCTGAAAATACACTTTGGCAGTGACCGAATGAATGAAGCACAGCACTAGGGCAAGCAGAAATGTCTCGAGCCTCATCCCTGAAAAAAAAAAAACGAAACGCGCATAATCAACATACAAAGACTTTTATGCAGAACACGGAAATCGCGAGCTCAGTACATCTGCAGTTATCACTTTCAAAATGCATCGGCGCCACAAGCGGATTCAGAGCGCTCTCCCGGGAAGGAAGGAGGGAGGAGGTGGGAGGGGGAAGGGATTTTTTCACCTCCCCTTTGCCCTTCGTCACTCCCCTCCCCCCGCCCCCTTCTTGATGGATACTAAATTAAGAGTGGCAGAGTTCCTGGGGGGAGCGGCAGAGGGTGCTGAACAGTCTTTTGTACAGTAAAACAACTGCTACCTAAGCCCTGGGGGGAGGAGCGAAGGAGAGGGGTAGGGGAGGGAAGCGAAAGGCCTTCCCCGTTTCCAACCCCAATCCCTGGATCCGCCAATGATCGACGCATCATTCTCCCGCAGTTTATAGTTCAACAGCGCCCAGAGCTATCTGTAGTCATCTTCACCGAAATGATATCACACTATGTGCTAAAACTGAGGAACACATGAGACAGCAGCAAAGGACAAGTGAAAATGAGGGCCCAGTCAAATGCCAAAATCCTATCCCCTTCCGCATTTTGCTCACAGTGAGAGGCGGAGGCACTCAGAATGTAGCCCGAGTGGTAGCAAGCTCCAACAAGAATGTCGATGGCTTCCTTTTTTGAGAATTCCTCAAAAGGAAGCTGATGGCGGTATCAACTTAACTGGAGAATGAGAAAAGTTAGGAAGTTTAAACTTTGGTTGAATGTTCCCTACTCTCGCACAACCAGAACTTTTCAAACTCAGCTCCTTAGGACTGCCCATGGCTCACGTACGAGCACGTGAAAACTTTGGTCATCGAAACGAATCGCAGGGGGATTGGTTGTCGCATTTGCGGAATGGGTCTTTCAACCTACTATACGACAACAGCGCTACCCCAAATGCGTCATGCCTGTTGGTAGAGTGAGAGTCCCCATAGGAAAAAGTGAGGTTGAATGAGTCCGACGAGGAACAAACTGAGAAAACAAGGCTAAAAGACAGCGTATCTGTAGTAACATGAACATTCTGCAATCGTTTTGGGGTGCTGTGCCGTATGCAAGGCTTTCACACGAACGGAAGATGGACCGGCAAACAGAGTGCCTTAGCCGTGTCTCCGTTTTTGTCACTTGGAACAGCTCCAGTCTGGTTCCCTGCCCAGGCAATTGCTAATTTTTAACCAGATGCTTTGACCAGTGCTGCATCGCGGTGACAGGCACGATCCCGGTGCTGTACTCCCCGTGGACTGTAGCTGGATTTGAACTGGAGCTTTCACTTCAATCTGAACAGGAAGTAAGCGTACAGTGCCCAGGATGCTGGTTTAGATCATAGGGGATCGTGTCAGAAGGAAATATGCTGAGAGGATGACTGGAAAGGAGCTGAGACCCTGTTTGGAGGTGAGGATTGGGAGCGGGTATTAACGGAAGGAGAGGGAGTAATATGGAGATGCATACTGCGCAAGC